GTGTGTGTGTGCGTGCGCGCGCCAGTTGGATGAGTGTACATAAATTCTGCCGAAAAATCGAGTCGAAGTGCTTGCAATCTCTCTCTCTCTCCCTGTGTGTGTGTGCGTGTGTGTGTGTGTGTGTGTGTGTGCCAGTTGGATGAATGTACATAAATTCTACCGAAAAATCGACTCGAAGTGCTTGCAACGACCGACTTCCAAACTACGCTCCATCGCTCGTAATCGCAAGAGACTTTTGCAGTCCGCCATCCGGCAAAGCCGGCAAAGCCGCTGTGGTGTTCGATGAAAGCATTGTCCCTGCAAGGCCGCACGGTGTGTTTCTCTCCTAAAAAGAGCCTTTGATATGTAAGCATGCCTGCGTGCGTGCGTGTGTGTGTGTGTGTGTGTGTGTGTGTGTGTGTGTGTGTGTGTGTGTGTTGTCATATTCGCTATACACTCAAAAATGGCATGACTGTGCTGAACAGACCGTTGCGTCGGACTTTCACCGACTCATCAAGAGGTTGAGAGTGTGTGTGTGCGCGCGAGCACATGCGGTGCGTGGGTGCTTCTCTGTGGGTGCGTGTGTGCGTGCGTGTACGTGTCCAGACATGCTATACAGTCGTATGGAACTATGCTTTACGTACCTTGTGACATACAAGTTCCGCGCACAATCGGCGTCTCCTCCTTGCTCGACCCACACCGTCACTCACACTCACACCGACACCTCCCACACATGCAGACTCGCACGTACACACGCACCCTCGCAGACACCCACAGGCACAAGCACAAGCACACGCACAAGCACAAGCACGGACAAATCGCAAGCACAAGCACAAGCACACACACTCTCTCGAAATTGCCGGCACCCAGCCACCTGCCCAAGGATGCACCAACACAAGCACGCGGCTTGCATTAACACACAGACACAGGACCATAGACCATACGAGCAAGAACTCGCTCCAGAGCGCTGAGGGATCGATTCGCGCTCTTCTTTGCTGGAGTGGTGTACAGCCAACACGACAAAAAACACACCGCATACCCACAGCAAGCGCAAGCAAGAGACAAAAAGCTGAGCCCAGCGAAACTTGGAAGGCTGGCTGTTGGTCGTGCGGTGGCCTAACCTCTGGCAGTGGCAGTCCGCCTTCAGTGGCGATCGCTGAGCGGAGACGAGCGGAGCCGACCTGAGCCGACCTGAGCCGAACTGAGAGAGCTGAGACGAACTGAGCCGAACTGCGCTCAGCGCAACTCGAGGACGACGAAGAGGAAAACGCGATCGGCCGAATGACAAGCAAAAATATTATATATATTGGGCATCGCTCCACTGCTCCGGAAACGCACAAAAGACAAAACTCATGGCCATGTATCTTTCCTTGTTCTAGCGGAAGATTCACTCTCGATTTGCACATTTCGAGAGTAGTGCAGGGAGGCCCATTATATATTATATGATGCACGGTTCAGCTCGCCAAAGATGGCGCTCCCAAGGCAACACTCGCCAAACACAAACATCCATCCGGCGGTGTATGGGCCTGGCTGCACTACTCTCCAAATGTGCAAAACGAAATTGAATCAACACCTAGAACATGGAAATGTACATTGCCATTCGTTTTTGTCTTTTGTGCATGTCTCGCCAAAGATGGAGCGCCCCCGGCAACACTCGCCAAACGCAGGGCCTCGTCGCACTACTCGCCATCCGCCAACATTTTGATTGCATGTGGACATTGTCTCTGTCCAGATGCATTCGAAATCTTGGCGGATGGCGAGTAGCGCAACTTGGGCCACAAACATGCGGCGGTGTATGTGCCTCGCTGCACTACTCTCCAGATGTGCAAAATGAAATTGAATCAACACCTAGAACATGGAAATATACATTGCCATTCGTTTTTGTCTTTTGTGCATGCCCCCGCCAAAGATGGCGCTCTTCCGGCAACACTCGCCAAACACAAACATGCGGCGGTGTCTGGGCCTGGCTGCACTACTCTCCAAATGTGCAAATTGAAATTGAATTAACACCTAGAACATGGAAATGTACATTCCCATTCGTTTTTTGTCTTTCGTGCATGTGGAGAGTAGTGCAGCGAGGCCGTATGTCGGCGAGTGGACTTGGCGTCATTGTATGCAGTCATTACCCCGTGGATGCATGTGACCGCAGAGGCGAGTGGGAAAACATTGTCCTCCAGCAAGGGGTTGGTCGAAAGGGCCTCGCTGCACTACTCGCGACATGCACTAAAGACAAAAATCATGGCGGTGTATCTTTCCATATTGTACGGGAAGATTCTCGTTTTGCACATTTCGAGAGTAGTGCAGTGAGGCCCTAAAGCTGCGTGCCCGCGTCCTCGGGGTACGGTATGTCAGTATATTCCCATGTTCGACCAGAAGTTTTTTTTTTTTTTTTTTTTTTTCGACCAGAAGATTTTTTTTTTTTTTTTTTTTTTTTTGAATGTTTGTTTGTATTCCAGAAATCATGATGACCGGGGCCGGGGTCCCCACAATTCAACCCGGGTCAAGCCTCTGGCAGCATTAGCCAGCTTCGCTTTTTACGGCACCGAAAGGAACCGAGTAGCATCAACATGAGAGCGGGCAGTGTAAGATGAGTTCTAATGGTCTTCGTAGGGGATGGGGAGAGGAGGATTCCTAGTTGGGGGAAAACTTGAATCTTGGGTGGGGAATTGGTTGATTGAAGTGACTGGAGGTAAGAGGGGGAGATAGGGTGTTTGAGGACCAGGAGGAGATGAGTGAGGTGTGGAGGCGTGTAGGGCAAGTGGGGGAAATGTGTAGGGTGGCTACTGAGAGAATGGCGACTGAAAGAAGGTGGGGGGGGGAAGGGGGAAAAGAGATGGAAAGATAGACTAGAAGTGGGTATGGGCGGGCTTAACGCACAGGCCTACCGACGGCCAGATAACCTGCCTAAATTTGGCTGGTTGGAGTCGGCTACTCGGAACACCCCTGTAAATACGACACTCTCCACCCTCCTCCCTTCTGCCCACTACGCTCCACTGGTCTACTGTGACCCAGGCTAACCGAGTGCCCTGGTTTGGACAAAGATACTCTACCCTATCAAAGCTGGGTATTCAACAACCGGATGCTCTAATTTAGCAAAAACAAGAGTGCCAACCTACCAGAACTCAGAAAGTCTATGTCCTATGTCTACCATATCAGCAAGAACTGATTTGCAACTGGCTGCCCCTTCCTGTGGAGACTGCTGAAACAGGACAGGGGCGTGACAGAAGGGGGAAAGAATGAGACCGTCAGAGGGCCTGAAGGGATGAAGAGCATAAGGGGAGAAGTAGGGAGGGAGACTGTGGACCGAGAGGGAACTTTCAAGCATGGAGCCAGGGAGAGATGACGAGCTGTCCTGTGATCGTGATCGCAGCTAACTTGTTGTCACGAGCCCATGTAACCAGAAACCAGTGTCTGCCACGAGGGGAGCGACCTTGTCTGGCTTTCCTGATCCAATCCACCCTGATCATTGTTCTGATCCAGGACTTGGCCTTGGCGATGATTGCTGCATCAGCGGTCCATTCCTGTTTGAAGAGGATGCTATTCCTGTCCTCCCAAATGATCCAGAGTAAAATTGAACGAATCGCTTGAGCCACGTATCCTCGACCAACATGCTTGAACCATGAGGATGGAATCCTGCCATGGAGAGCCCATTGTTCATTCCATGGAAGCAGGTCACCCACGAATGAGCTCCAATGCTGCCCTCACCATATCCACAGTCTCTTCGAGGCCAGTCACGACCAAAAAAGGTGGTGTAAAGTTTCCTCAGCATTACCTCCGCATCTGAGACACTTGGTATGGATGTCCATGCCCTTTTCGAACAGCCAAATAGAGCATGGAATAGCTGAATGGGACAGGAGCCATAATAGAGCTGCTAGCTTCTAAGATGGCAGCGCTTTCAGCTGGTCCCACAAAAGTGACATATGACGTGGTTCCAGTGGGGGCTGAGCTTGAGATAACCTGTTGAGGTTTCTGGCTGCGTTGGTAGATGAGTCTGCTGCTTCGGAGATGATACGCCTACCCCACCTCAGCGAATATTGGAATGGGAAGACCTGTTGGCCTCCTGGTAGGATCCAGCTGTGTCCCAGCGGATCCATCTTGAGACACCGTAGAGGTTTGCCCTCCAATAACAGTAAAGGGGGAGCCGCTCGAGAGGTCTGAACAGGCTGCACTGGATCATAGACGCGGATGAGATGTCGAGGCCGCTGGCCATCAATGCAGATCTCAACAGGGTTGACTATACTTACGGGCTTGCCTGGGAAAACTTCCTTGCTCCATTGCTGAGCTAGCCAGAGCCCATCCCCCAGATCCTGTGAGATATTGACTATCTGTTCTTCGTTGCCTCCGTCTTGAGTAGTGATGTACCATTGCCCAGGAACTGGGTCTTTGCTGCGCAGCAGAGCTACCCAATGTGATGGAATGGCATCAATGATCTGTTGTCTTCGCTGGGGGACATGGGGCAGGTGTCTCAGTCTTGTTTTCAATAGCTCCTCAGTTATCCAATCATCCGCGCTTTCATCCCAGACATCTGCAATGCGGACGATGCCCCGCTCTGTCCATGCCCTTCCAAAGGTATGAGGGGATCGCGTTGCCTTGAAAGCATGCCCACAAGAGTCAAGGATAAGAGCGTTATCGAACAGTATCTGCTGCAGAACTTCTTCCTGGGTGACGGGTTGCTTCACCTGCATTCGTTGAAGGGCCTTCCAGGCGGTCCAACAAGCATTCGCTAGAGGTGAGGAGGGACGTCTTCGTAAGAAAGATTCCATGAAAGATTCTGGAGTCGGATTGAGAAGCTGCCTTGCAGAACCACTTGCCGAGCAGGGCCAGGTTTTGAGTTTCTGGGTCAAGAATTCCCAGACCCCCGTCCCGTCTCGAGCTCGTGACCTTGGACCATGAGCACTTGGAGATGAAGCCCTGTTGTTCCTCGGCCTTCGGCTTCCAAAGGTACCTGCCTGCGTCCCTCCTCACATCTTTGAGCGTGGATTTGGAGATGAGCATGATGGCGGCTGTGTACCACAGCTGAGCGAAGACTGCTGAGGTGATGAGGATAGCTCTTCCGAAGATGGACAGTCCAACGACGGATTTGCAGCGCTTCAGCACGAACTTGGATCTTGCAACAAGAATGGCGTCTTGATCAGCTCTTGCGTCCGTGGAGGGGATCTGTATGCCGTGGTATCTTTTCGAGACACCATTTGGAATTCTCTTCATGCCCCACGCTTCACCCTCAAGATTGTAGCAAGCTGGGAGAAAATAGTATGATTTGCTCCGGTTAACTTGTGCCTCTGACAGGTTGGAATAGCAGTCCAGAATTTGCTTTGCCTGCTGTAGTGAAGTTGTGGTGGCTTCGGTTACGAGGAGCAAGTCATCCCCAATTGCTCCGGTGAGCAGTTGATCTTCTCCGCCAACGCTGAGGCCTCTGAGCAGCGGCGCTGCTCTGAGGGAGTTCAAAAGAACCTCCATCTAGACTGCAAATAGGAGCGAAGCGAGTGGACATCCCTGCCTCAGCGAACGAGTGAGCGAGAAGGCAGGAGAGACGAAGCCATTGACTATAACTGCTGCAGTGGAATCTGTGTACAGCTCCTTCACCCACTGACGAAACTTGGGACTGAAATTCATATGTTGCAGAGTGGCAAGGACGAACGACCAGTTTACTCGGTCGCACACCTTTTCGAGGTCGAGCATAGCAAGCATGACTTGACGGTCCTCTCGCTGAATGATTTCAAAAGCTCCCATTGCCATCAACACATTTTCGAAAATTGAGCGCCCCTGCACGAAAGCTCCTTGATTGGTATGTACGAGGCCTGGCAAGTGGGGGGCTAGCCTACTTGCAAGCACTTGGGCCAATATCTTGTACGATGCGTTGAGGCGACTGATAGGCCGCCAGTTTCGTAAATTGCGCTTATCACCCTTCTTGTAAAGGAGCGTTATGACACCGTATTTCATGTCGTTCGTCAGCGTGCCTCCATCCAAGATCCCATTGTAGAGGTTGAGTAGGATCGGGCCCACGTGATCCCAGGTGGCGATGTAGAATTTTATTGGTAGCCCGTCCGAGTCGGGACTATTCCCCTTGGTCATGGCTTTTACTGCATGCCACAACTCAAGTTCCGTGATTGGTTTCTCGAGCAGGTAACTGGCGTCGTGGGAAAGCTTGGCTGTGGTATCCTGCCACATATTGTGTTCATCTTGAAGCTGGTGCAACGATTGGCCCGGAGGTCTTCGAGAAGTCAGGATGTCTTGGAAGTACTGTCGGGCAAAGTCCCCGATCCCCTTGGAGTCCGTGGCAGTGTCTGCCTCCTCGTGAAAGGGATGCTTCAGTTCCCTTATGGTAGAGTGGGAGCGATGTGGACTGATCGTCTGAAAAGTCTCCTTGGTCATGCGGTCAGAGACTATCATCCCTTTTTCCTTAGCTCTGTTCGCCCACATGACTTGCTGCTCAATCTGCAAATCTTCCCATTTTTGCAGCCAACAGTCCCGTTTGTGCTGCCAATACAACTCTGTAAGAGGTTCTGTCTCCAACATTTCCTCTGCCTCTTTGACCTTGGCTAGGCACTCCTCTTCCTGCTGCCTTCTTCCGCGGGTTTGAATTCTTGAGAAGTTGTCTAACGCTCGAGTGACAACCCTGAACCCCACTGCTGTCCATTCCGCCTCGGAGGTGAACCAGTCCCTCATGCAGTGCCAGTCACGCCAGTGGGTGGCTACCCACTGGATGACTTCTGGTACTTCGAGGTGGTCGGTGTTTAGCCTGAAGATGCCCGGGCCCCGCTGCAGCGCACCATCCAGAAGAAAGTCCGCTATCACAGGCCGGTGGTCTGAGCCAGGAGCTATGACTACGTCCGCTGTCGTTAATGTCTCCCAGGCAGCTCCTTTGTTTAGGATCAGGTCCAACCGCCTCTTGGGAGGTGGGGTGTCGCCTGTTCTTTGTGACGAAAACCAGGTGTATCCGTGCTGCTGTAGGTGAGTGTGCCTATAAGCATCGATAAACTCGTTATCCTCCATGAAGAGCTGCAACGTCTGCGCATCTGTCTTCGGCGGAGCTGCCATTGGGGAGTCCAGTCCTGGCTGGAGGACAAGATTAAAGTCCCCCGCTAGGACTACATGAGTGGCCTGCGGAACTAGATGAGGAAGTTCCTCCAGAAACGCCTCCCTGGCTGCAGGCTCAGAGGGGAGGTACACTGTCATAAATATCCAGCGTTGTGTTCCTAACTGCACTTCCACCCACGCCCAGTGGCTCCATAGGTCTGCGTCCTGGTTTAGAATCTCCAGCTGTAGGTTTCTGTGAATTAGTATGGCCACTCCCCCCCTTGTGCCCTGGGCTGAGGACCAAATCTGATAGCCACGCCACCAGCAAGCGATCTTTTGTAGCTTCTGATCGTCCAGTTTAGTCTCCTGCATCATTAGAACTTGGACATTGTTGTCGTGGACCCAGGTTTTGACCTTGGCCTTCTTATAGCGGCTGAATGTATCACCCAGTCCTCGTACGTTCCAGGTGGCAATCCTAAGGCTCTCCATCAGCTTGAAGAGGAGCGGCACTGTCTTAAATGCACAATTGGTGGTCTTCAGTTGTCTGTTTGGGGTTTCATGGTCTGCGTGCAGAGTCCGTTTCGCCCGGAGGTGCCCAGGGTGACAGCAACAGACTGTGGAAGCCGGCAGATTGAGGCTGTTTATCAGTTGCTAATGTGGTGCAGAAGTCCGCCACGATCGATGCGTCCACATCCTCGGTAAGCCATGTCTCTTTGAGATCCTGCGATGCCCTGTCCGACAGCCACGCAGATGGCAACCAAACGATTCCCTGGGTAGCTAACAGTGCAGCAGTGTCCATGACAATCTTGGTGTCAGACTAGACATGTGATGTGGAAGTGCCAGCTATCGCCTGAGGCAGCTGCAGCCGATTTCCGTCCAATCCGGATTCCCGGAACGAGGCGAAAGGGAAACCTCTCTGCTATAAACGTTGCAGCTACGGTCCTGATTGCTTCCTTGGAGGTTGGAGATGATGCTGTCTCTATTGTTGGTATTGCCAGCAGCCCCTTCTCAGTTCTTTTAGCCATGAATTTAGTGCCTTGCGGTGTCATGGTGAAGATGAGTAGGACGACCTGGTGACGAATAGTGGCATTGACCGCTCTGCTTGATGATGGTTGTGCCGTCAACTGCCCTACGAGAGTTGTGGCTCCAGTCTGACTCGGCACCGCAGCCGGAACTACCGTAAGTGCTTGGGCGCTGGGTATGACCACAAATTCCAAATCATCTTCGACTGCTTCCGAGGTAACCTCTCCCAGACCTTGTTGGTTGATCCGGCGCTGCTTTGTTGGAATGCGTGTTGGCAATCTTGGCTCGCTCATGTCTGCGTCCTGCGCAGCCCTGTCCTCCACGTGCAGACTGAGTGCAGTAGGTGGTGGGGGAGGGGGGAGAGGCAAGTAGGGCTCCAATGAGGCCGTTTGGAAGGCGGGAGGGAGAGGAGGATGGATAAAGTCTGGGTTATTATAGGAAGTGAACAGTGAGTGTGAGCTGCTCCAATGTGAGGAGGAAGCTGTTTGAGCGTAGTGTGGGTGATTGTGGTACGGGGAAGGTATGAGTGCTGGGACTGAGAGGTATGAATTTTCGAGGGCTTGGAGCTGGGGTGGGTTAGGGAAGATGGTATTGGGGGCAGGATGGGAGGCGAGCTGCAAAGAGGGGGGGGCCTGGGGGAGCTGAAGTGAGACCAGTGGGGGAGAGGCCAATAGACCAGAAAGGGGGGTTGGAGTGTTGGATGAGGATGGTTGGGAATGATGGTGGGTGGGGGTTGCAGATTGATCCCCGGTTGCTGCCGGCGGACGGGGAGGTGGAAGAAAGGCCGCTTGATAGGTGGCAGCAGGCTGGTGTGTGGGGGTGGGTGAAACAAGCTGCAGTGGTCATGTGGGGAGAGGTATAGTCCTTCGAGGTGGTAGGGGAGCAAAATGGGGGGGGGGGGGG